GTGTGTGTGTGTGTGTGTGTGTGTGTATCATCAGCATTAAAAATCTTTTGTCACGGTACCAGACGTAATACTATACTCGGGTAGAGACATGTTCATTTGATGTGCTTGACTTTGCTGTTTTGTCGCTTTTCTCCTCCTCGCTTTTCGTCTCTAGCATATATGTCGCGATATGGCTGGCGTCGACCATTTGTCATAGTTACCACTTCGGCAACGGACTGGATTGGTGGCTCCTCCACCCAAATCGTATTTAGCTAACATCTGAAGAAGTCCTAAATTCAGTGTTTAAATGTCAAACCCGAGCCAAGCACGTGTCATACAAAGTAAAGTTGAAGGGTTTCCGAGACTGGAATAACAACGAAGAAAAAAATCTTGAGAAGGAATTCTGGTTAACAAAAAGTAGTTTATTTTAGCTATTGGTTACATATTTTATCTGTCGTATCGCTGCTTCTTCACAATCATGGTCCTTCACAACTTCCTATTTTCTAGCTCTTAGCAATGTTTTCCCCCTTACTATCATTCCCAGTGACTGTTCTTCCGCCCATTTATTATAAAAAAAACGATAGGTAGGTTCCTCATAGTTTCCTCCTTTGTCCCTGTTGCCTTCAGTATATCATGTGTGTGTTACATTCTCCAAGCCTTCCTCCTTCATGAAATGACACAGAACTTTCAACTATTTCTTTCTGATTAGATGTTTTTCTAAGCGTAGTTTAGATGCCAAAGTATAGGGCACCTAGTGAGGATCGAACTCAATATTCAGTCGTAATTGCTCTAGCGAGACAAGCTTGCTAACCATTTGCACCATGTTTATGTGGCCTGATTGTTTATATAAGTGTCCTTTTCGTTATCATTTTATGAATGCCTGCTTGACTAACGCCTAGTTGGTTAAATACGTATTTCAAACAAGAGTTTTTCTTTCCCCAATTCCAATGCTTGACATCAATACGAGATAACTTTGAACCGTTCGTTCTCTATGGTTATGATGATAGAACAACAATTGTATGTTTGTTTTTGATCATTCCACCATTTTTTAATGATTAAGTTGGGAGGGATAATATGATGGCCAGTTCTCACCAATGCTGTTACGATCTGTCTTCTGGTATCTGTAGGGAATTCCTGTAAGGTCGCAAAAGTTTGCAATGCATTGTATACAGGTTGGCATTTACAAATTCAGTAAAACGGTTCAATCAGTAATCCGGTACTAAATTTCACGAGAGCAATTTCAGTTTTCCCGGGTCGCTGCACGGATCTACCATCACTGGTTGGTGGCACTAACCGTTGCATCAGCTGTTTTTGAGCACGAGCAAACACTGCTAAGCTATTTCTACCTGTCTTTTGTGCTATTTTTATTATGACCTGATGATGTTTAGTCTTGGCCTTGGCTCTAAGGAATACAGGATGTGCTTCTCGTGGTACAAAACACAAATCGCATTCATTGTCCATAAAAGATAAAAGAGAATTTCTGGGGAAAAAAATTAACAGTAGCGTGAACTGTGTGTGATTTATACAACATTGTGTCAAATTATAGATATGCCAAAGAAACAGAGAAAATAGTATATCAGTAATCCGGTAAAATGATGCCGGATTAGTGATACTTAATATTTATATGGAACTACCAATGATGCAATGACACGATTTAACTATTAATGTACGCACTTTTGGTAGGGGGGATCTAATTTCTCGAAAATAATTAATTTCAATAATAATTAAAAACTTCTCTTACGATTTATACCATAAAACGGACCTTTCTATATTTAACTCTGCTCGTCGACAGTGATCAAGTCTCCCTGAAGGTATACTTAACCTGTACTCGTTGATCCCCACTCACATCCACATCTTTGGACAAGAGGGTTAAGGTGGTGATCACTCGGCAGTAGGCAATCTTTCGGTCTACTAGTACTGAAAAGACACAAACTCTGGTTCAATGGATATTGGTTAATTGATTTGTTTAACGGCATATCAACTTATGTGTCATTTAATACCGAAATTTAATTTTCTTGAAAGCTCTGAAGTAATAAAACTATGATATATGTTATTCTGCTTTCACAATTAAATACATTGTAAATGATACTCAGCTTTTGTGTATATACAAGCTTGTGCAGCTATGATATCTAGAGGCGAGGATATGTTATATTGTAGAATACAGTTTGATTTCTTTCAAGAAATTGTAAGACATATAGATTAATGCCATGAAAGAGTTCTTTCATGTTGGATGATTTTGTTTAGCAGCATATCAACCATTATGGGTTGTTTAAAGCCTAAATGGAAATTTCATAACTTCGACTACAGATAAAACGTATTGCTGGTCATTTTAAATACTTTAAAATGTATTGATCATTTTCCTATATTTATTGTTGGTCATTCTTTTTATAGAAAAATGTATTGCCAGTATTTTTACTATAAAAATGTATTATTATACTTTGATAGTGCTTTGTTTGGAGATTCACTATTTGCTCATAGCTGGGGCCCTAACAGGTTCTACCACCCCAGGTCAGGGTTGACCTGCGTACAACGACCAAAACAGCGTTACTATAACAACCAAGATGAATATACAGAGCTATTATATTGATCATTCCTCATCTGAAAACTTACGATATAAATAATGAAAGAAAGACCGAAACGGTGTTACTATGTTTTAGATCTCACTATTCGCGATTATAATGTCTCGAGTGACTTCAACGGAAGTCCTACTGACTTACTTTAAGTTCTTTATTTAAGGCGTCTTGCCTGGTTCATTTGTGTTATTGGGATGTCTTATTTACTCCACAACATACCCTATTTTGAGGATTTTTTCCACTGGTAAATATATTATTTCTTCGTATTCACCCCCTCCTCTTTCTGACGAGTTCGCCTCAGACCGAACTTTGTATTTCTTTCGTTTTGCATAAAGCTCTAGTTTTTACGTACGTTTTCTTTTTCTGGTAATCATCCTTGTACGTTCAACGAATTTTTGTGGTGTTGGTACATCAAAAATATCATACAGTACTTGCATAGGTTCTTCCTTCTTGCGCGCTTTTCTTCAGTAAACCTTTTCTTCAACAGATTCTAATGCCTTTTACGTTCCCATTTTTTCTCCTTTTACCATATACATAATTTTTCCTGTTCCTGACCTTATTACGCCGTCTTTTTACTTTTCTATTTTCTATACCCTGAAATACATTTTCACCAATTTTAAAACTTTTTGTGTCCTTTTTGTTATCCGTTTCTAATCAAGAATATTTTACAAAATTCTATAAATTCGTAAGCATTGTGTACCGTTATCCGAGATTATGGCATCCATATCTTGCAAACAGTCCGTGTAAAAAATTCACTGTAACCGTGGAAATTAGTTTTTTGCACTTACAAATTTCAGGCCACTTAGTAAATCTATCCACTACCACTGGATAATGTAATCCGTTTATTGAACCTAGGAAATCCTTCCGTGTATAAATCTATGAAAATTTTTCATTGCAAATATTATTGCTAAGGCCTCTTTTTCGGTCTGACTGTAGTTTTTCCTGCCTGTAGTAGCGAACACGAATCATGTGCGACGTATTTCATGTTACCGTCAACATATTTATGTAGAATTACTGCTCCTATACTATAGTTACTAGCATCTGAAGCCAATACGATTTTTGCTTTTGGATCGTAGTACGGTAATAAGTGATGTTAGTATTTTCCTGATTTCTTCAAACGCCTTCTGACACTTATCAGTCCAGTTCCACATTACCCCTTTTTTAAGCAAATTGTTTAGTGGAGCTCTCAAATTCTGCATATTAGGTATACAGATTTGATAATAGTTTGCTAGTCCTAGTAACGTCTGTAACCAAGTAACGTTTGTTGGAAGAGGCATATTCTTAATTGCACTTGCCTACGATGGATTTGGTTGACGACCATTTTTGTCAATGATTTTTCCTAGGTACTTGATTTTAGGCAAAAACAATTCACACTTTTCCCCACTGAGCCTGAACCCGTATTCAGGTAATTTTTCAAAAACTCTTTCCACATGCCCGATATGCTTTTCCTTAGATATATTTTTAATTAATATATCATCCAGATAAGCAACTGTGAAATTATAATCTGTAAGCCTAGTATCTATAGCTTGTTGAAATATAGCTGGAGCCTATTTTATCCCAAAAGGAAGTCGGGTGAAGTTAAAGAATCCCTTGTGCGTATTTATACTCAGAACATTCTTCAACCTGAATTTGCAAAGACGTTTCAGAAAGATTCAGCTTCGAAAAATTGTTTCCGCTGTTTAAATTCGTAAAAATTTTCCTCTGGACTTGGTAGTTATGGGATTCTAAACATTTGTTTAACCCTTTCGAAAAATCAGCACAAACATGAATTTTATTTTTCTTCTTTACATAAACTGCTGGTACCGCCCATTTTGAATGGTACACCTATTTTTTTTCCAAGTCTGTCTCATTCTTCGTTGATTTGATCCAATGCTGCGGAAGGTACACTACATTTCAGTTTAAACACTTGCGTCGACCCTTTTTTTTTTTACTTGAAATTTCGCTTTGACTTTGGAACACTGGCCCAACTCATCCGACATATGCAAATATGGACTGGAGACACGAGCTACGACAGAGTTTTAGAGAAAATGGAAACACACACAAAAAAAGACATTTATAGTTAATATCAGAAAGAGACAGTTGACATTTCTAGGGAAATGAGGAAAGAGGGCTTGGAAAATTTGATACTCCTGGGACATACTGAAGGCAATAGGGACAAAGGAAAACCGCGCATCACCTAAGCATGTTTATATGGTTGACGGAACAGAGATTAGGAGATATAGCAAAAAAGACAAACTTTATTAAGGGCTACACAAGGAGAGGAAGTTGTGGAGAGCTATTGTCGCCCACATCTTGAAGAGACACGGCACACAAAAAAAGAAGAAACACTATCTGCCTCATCATGGAAATAGTTGCGAATTTCCAAACGATGTTAGATGTCAATGATTTTGAAGCATTTTAAATTTAATGGACTGGCGCAACACCATCTTTCTCTATTCACTTTATGGCTTACGACCACATCACGTTGAAACACCGGTTCCCGTATGATCACTGAAGTTAGGCAACGTCGAACCTGGTCAGTACCTAGATGGGTGACCACTTGGGAATGCCAGGTTCTGTAAGCGCAAATGTTAATCAGCGAGCCGAGTTCCAATTCGCGTTGGGTTCGTTATATTCACCTATGCGCAAATACCCTTGGGAAAGGTATGAATTCACCTCTTCTCCCCCATCTATGGGTTAATTAGTATTTATTAGTAGGTTTGTATCACTAAACCATTATTATCGAAAAAAAAATCTTGCAATTTAAAAATATTTTCTAGATTTAAACAACCCTAAAAGGGTTGATAAGCCGTAGAAAATAAATCAAGTTTATTTCGTCTCGGTCTTTACTAGGATAAGCTTAGAATAAACCCTAAAAGAAAAATGATACGCCAAAATAAAAATTCCTCCTCTTGCATTTTCTTAGATAATTACCAAATATAGATATCAAGTAACTCACTTGGCAAAAGCCTGACAGTACGACACAAAGACATAGGTTTCAAATTCAAAATTGTGTCGACCCAGTTCGGTTGAGGTTAACGTGACACGTTGTGCATTGAAACCAAATCCTAAGCAATCCGAGGTTTTATTCCAATAAATAAATCTAAGGCAAAACAAAAAAAAAACGGATGAATATTTTTCACGAAGAATATTACCGTTTGAAATGTTAATCGAAATGAACAAGAATATTTTCCTCACAAAGGATATTTCTACAGTATTTCAATATATTTTATCTCCTTAGTTAAAGAAAAAGAAAAGCTGGTGGCGACCAGGATTGACCCAACCATATATTAAAAAAAAAAAACGAAGAAAGACGGCACGTTACACGATTAAAATATTCGAATTAAATTTTAAAATCGAACGAACTATATTTCGAATGACGTTTTAAAATCGAATGAATTATAACATGAATGAAGTTTAAGAATCTCTATCAAATCAGTTTCCCAATTCTAAACAAGCATTTTTTAAAAAATGAAACTTTTTCTAGGATGTTTCCACAAAAATAAGAGGTCTGTGATTTGGAGGTGTAGGGTGAGTTGGAAATTTTCAAAAATTGACAGTTGGGGTGCTGTACAATTATTAAAAACCTGAGAATGTGTCTATGTGTGCTGGAAGAATTTTTTAATGATTGTAAAATAAATATTTGGGAGCTGCTTTAAAATATTAGAAAGTCTTGAAGGAACAAATCATATAGATGAAGAAGAGGTGCAGTGCGTGATGCTCGCTTGGGATATCATGTCTCTTTTCGATTCATGATTGATTTGGCAGAGGAATTCTCATGTTGTCAATCAAGGCTATAGGACTGCCAAACTGCCCTGCTTACCCTCAAAAACAAAAATGGAACTTCCTACTTGCACACCATTTTAAACATTTTATGTTTTTCTTTTAATTGCCACGTTACTGTATCTAAGGCGTGGCTGATTTTAACAGACCCCCTTCCGCAATTTTTTCATTTATTTTGCGGTCACAAGTTCTAGCTCAACTATTCTTGATAAATTTTCCTTTCCGCTTGGCACTTAATTTCACACCAGACTATTAAGGAATCCAGATGCTGGGCTGACCTTGAGGGGAACACGTGGACACCGAATGCAGCTAGTTTTGCAAACATGGGAACACACTGCATAACAGAAATAGAGATATTCCTTCTAAAGTCTACTTCAACACTACTTCTAACATCTCCAAAATTTTATTTACTATTTGTTCCTCAATAAGAGTAGACAGGTTCACCTATTGTCTGCTTCACACTCTTTACTAGTCTTTTGAACAAGAGTAGAGGTTTATCCTTATTTTCCTGTTTGGAATTGGGTTTCTGATGTCTTTGTCATTCTCTTTCACTCCCAGCAGCTTCTTGCATCTTAATGGCATCACCACTTTGCTTGGGGTGAATTAATACATATACATTATATATATATATATATATATTGCTTAACTCAACCCAGGGAAGAGTTGGGTAGTGTCTCAGACATTGCCAGTGAGAATGTAAGGTCAACATTTTGGACAAGAAATTCAAGGCTGCTACCAAACTCTGGCCAACAGAAATTTACAAAGTATTTGAATGAAATAAGATGCAATGTTAAATATGAAAGATTTGGGCCTTGTGTTAGTAATTATTCCCTTCCTGTTATGATTTGGTCAGAACCTCCTATTTCTTGACGCACAAAACAGGATGCAGTTAGTTGGTTGGTTTATTTTATAACAAGTCAATGCTTGTTTGATTATTAAATGTCAAATTTTGTTTGAGGCAGCCATTACTCAGTAGGCCAATCAGACTAGCCAAGATATCAGGCTGGAGTGCCACAAATCAACAATCAGTATTGATAATTAATCAGCTCAGTTTCATATGGGACAAGGCCAACATGGAGTTGCTATTGTCAATGTTGTCAACAACTAATTCTATTAAGCAAACATGGCAACTGTTTCCTCATAGTGTGTGTCTATGTGTGCTGGAAGATCAAGAACAAATTGGACTGAAAGAGATGGAATTCATTCCACCTTACTAATTAAATAGACTGATCCACATGTAAAAAAGCAGGAAAAATTCTTTGTGGGGAATTATTTTTGTAGATTAGACATTCCCCAAGGTTCAACATTTGACATAACTGAAATGGAAAAAAAAAAAGAAAAAGATTTTTTTTTGTGATTTTAAATGGTTGTTTGAATTTGCTTAGCAGCATATCAACACTTCTATGTAATGCCAAAATCTAAATATTTTGAAAAAAATTTTATGGCTTCAAGTAAATATACTTTGAACACAATTGTATACCTTCAAATACAGATAATATGTATTGTTGGTCATTCTGCTATAAATATCTATTGCTGGTATTTTTACTATAAAAATGTATTATTATATTTTCATAGTAGTTTGTTTTTTGTTTAGGGTTTCACTATTTGCTCATAGATGGGACCCTAACAGGTGTTAGCACCCTGGGTCAGAGTGGACCTGGGGATAACAGCGATTAAGTGGTGGTTCTATGCTTCTTAAAACCCATAATATCCTGACCAGAGGCCTTGCTGCGAGATGTAGTTTGTCATCATATCCAGGACTTGATTTTAAAAGGCTATCCTTGATTTTTTCATTTTTTGTTTTGACCCAAGCTGCTATTTACAAATGTCAAGCTTGAAATTGTGCTTACATCATTGATATCTGCATATGCATTTTTTTATTTTCTGAATTTTTTTTTTGAAAGCATTTTCTTAAAATATTTTTGTGTTAGGGAAGATTTTTCCTGAAACTCATGCAAAAACATTGGTAGATAATAAGTATTTATTTTAAACACAGAAATAAATATATAATTTTATTAATTTACTCTAATTTTTTTTTTTTTCAATAAAACTGCATATATATGTCTAAGTTCAATAAATGATACAGTTTAAAATCAATCCCTGATTTTAACAGAATTATCTCTGTTAAAATCAGGGGGTGATTTTAAAATGTATTTGCTATTATAAACAGGACTAAATCAAATTTTGGATTCCGACAAATGAGGAAAGTCAAAGGAATGCTAATCTACAATATTTATTTACAAAATCTTTTCCCCTATTTTTTTTAATGAGTGGACCTGTATACTTAAGTAGTTGCCATTCCACCAATGTAACTCCCCACTTTGTTTTGTATCTAGTCTCCAGAAACTAATTTCATAATGTTGAAACTGTCTTGTATGTAAAAATTCAGATATAAATAATGTCTATAAAAAGACAACATGAATAAAGACAAAAAGAAAACTGTTTAATGAACAAATTCTATTCACTGAGCAACTTTATCAAGGTAAATGTAAGGATTTTATTTTGCAGCATATATTTATAAACAAAAATAAAGATATCAAAAATTTTCAAATTTAAGAATGCTCATAAATATTCTTAAGGCAAATTGTTGAAGTCAAAGTAATCTATGGAAAATGTTAAGTGATGTAATTTAATGCCTAATAAATTAAACTAATTAAAAGTTGTTATTGTTGAATTTTATTTTCTTATTTGTTTTTATATATTTTTTATTATTTATTAATGTAATTATATTTCATTTTAATTTGATAAATTATTTATGCATTTATTTATTTTAAGGGAAAGTTTTGAGTCAGCTGCATTCTTTTAATTTTTAAAAAAATTTTTATAATCATATCTGTTGGCCTGAGAAAAGAGTTTCATTTAGGAAAGGAGATATTTGAAAAAAGTTTGAACTGTGGGATAATATTTTGGTAAGATTCTATAGCAGCACTTTCAAGAACTTTCTAAATAAGTTACTTTCTCTTTTAACAAGTGTGGCCTTCTTTAGACTGAAGTTGCAGATGAATTTATTTCTGTGTATATATATATATAAATAAAATGTAAGTTGATAAAATGTTATGTATAAGATCCTTTTTGTGTTTATACTGTCTTCTATTACTACTAATACCACGTGTGATGTGTATGAAAGGAAGTTATCTGGAGAAAATAAGATATAAATCTAGGGTTAGATTCAGACTTTTGTTAAGTAATAGCTTTTCTAGCCCATGTGGTTGATCAGCTGAACTGTAGAAAGTATAGCATCTGCTGCTGCTAGATTTGTCAGAGTTGAAGCACTTAACAACACACTTCTAATGATGTGATATGTATCCTTATAGCAAATTTAAATAATACATTCTTAACACAGTTTTTCCTTTGTTCAACTTTGAAACTTTAATGTATATTTTATTTTCATGGAAGAGATATTAAAGAAATATATTTCACCATATTTGTTTAATTCTTTAGTAAATCAGTTTATATATATATATATATATATTTATTTCAAATATCAATTTTATCCAGACTTTGAAGTTTCTTGGTAAAATTTCCAGTCTGTAGGTTTTATAGTTTTAAATGGTATTTCCAATTTTTTCAGTGTCTTTGTCAATCCTGTATAGCAAGAATAAATTACTGTTTTTAAACTACAAATTTCCAATGATTTCTCTGGAAATCAATGTAAATTTCACCTTGCTAAACAGACGCTACCTCCATAGCTAAATGATATAGCATGTCAGGCTATATTACAGTTTTGCGTTGGATACATGTTCGATTCCTGTCAGAGGGCACATATTTTCTATGAAATTTCACAAACATTCAGGCTGCT